ATATATATTCAAAACTAAAAAACAAATCAAAGTAAAGTTCCAGTAGGGATGGAAATATGTGGTGTATCGTTTATATGAGACCAAGTGTAGCTCATATCTCACCTGTCAACATATTACTTTTTGTTTTTTTTAAAAACCTGTTTTTAAAAACTCCTAAAAAAATTTATTTAATTTAATTTTTATTTTTAAGAGAAAAAAATTAAAAAAAAATTAAGCCAAATAGGCACCAAATCGAATTTGTTGTACAAAATTGATATCCCAACATAAAATCTGAGCTTAAAAAGGGCCAAGAAGGTCACATGCATCCTGAGCATAACTGTTGGAACATATTTATAAAATATTATAAAAAAAAACTAATACTAGATGACATTCTTTTGTACTTTTAATGTACTAACTAAACAATTTGAGTCACTGTCAAACATCCCACTATTACCAATGGGATTTCCTAGCAAATGCTGTCAGACAGCATTTTCCACATTATATTGAGAACCGAGAAGCGTTTTAGCTAATTCAAATAAGGTTCGAGCAAGTATTGTCATCCCCAATTCCAACCCCTTGATTTCCTTTTTCATTCGGGTTGGACCCCGGAGGAAAGCTTATTGGGCTAAATTTGGGCTTATGAATTCTGACCAAGACCCATAGTCTGCTTTCAAGGCCAATGACGATATTGAAAATTGAAGAAATATTGGGGAGAAATCTGTAGTTTTCGATTTTCGAAACGAAGCGTAGCTGGTCAATTCACTCTCTCAGCCACTGCTCTGCTCTTCCATCTTCGGCTCCATTTCCACAAAACCTCTCCGGTAATCTCAATCCGAAATTTCGAAAAAGGGGAAAAAAAAAAGGGAAAACGAAAATGAATCTCTTGCGAAACGCAATCAAATCGCACGTTTCGGTTCGAACGATCAGGCCAATGCAAGCCTTACCATCATTCCTAAGAGCATCGCCGAAAAGTTTCTCCACCGGGACGGATGAGCCTCAGCCGCCACAACCCGACGCCTCCGTCAATCAATTTATGGAATCTGCAAGCAAAGGTTCAGTTTTTCAGAAAAAAAAACGCAGGGTTTAGGGTTTATCCAAAATTCCTTTTTTAATTTTTTTCCTAAAAGATTTAACCTTTTTTTCTTTACTGTAATTAGGATTCGTTTTTGCGAAACTCCATGGAATCACAAAGCATACAATGAAGAGCGATGTAATGAACTTGCTTGAAGGGTGTGATCTAACGGCTGATGATATTAAAGTTCACTACAGCCGCAGCTTTTCTCCTTTTGGAATGTAAACTTCTTTACATTTTTTACTTTATTTTTTGATTTACTAGTCAGAATTTATTTAAGATTGTATATTGTGGAAATTGGGTTTTCTTTAGACTTTTTTAGGAATTATTTTTTTTTCCATTTTGTAATTAACATTTGTGTGATTCTTTGTTTGCAATTAGGATGTTGCGGTTTTCATCACCTGCTGCATTTAGTAATGCAGCAAGGACCATTCGGAGGTTTGATCGGCTTTACAGGTTGGAGAAGGTAAATTTGATTTGATTGTGAATGAGGCTGACAAGGTTTGATTGGTAATCCTGGGTTTCATATTTGGTTTGTTTTTTTCTTGGTTGTGATAATCCGGGTGTCATTTTTGGATATGTCAGGTTGAAGCTTCTGATTGGGATATTGTTCCACCACATAATGGCAAAACTGTAAGTCAAAGAATTGAGATTTTATTCTCTTTAGTTTTCAGTCGAACTTGAGATTTTTGACATTTTGAGAAACTGTTTGTTATTATGTTTTTAATTAGCTATACACTCGGAGAGTATTCATCTAGTTAACTGAGCTAAGTAATGAGGTGTTTTTCATAAGATATAACATGGCATTATTATCTACATGATATTGATACATA